ATTTCACATTTTCTTTTTACTTTCGATAAATATCGATATATTAATTTATTCTTTTGAGTATAACTCCAAATGCAGTGAAGTCCTAGGCAATATAATTTATATATAACCTATTTAGTATACGTGCATTCAAGAAATATTTTCCTTTTCATATCTCTATACACCGTTTTTAAATCGAAAGAGAGTTTATTGGCTTGGTGCAGTATTCAGCTGTCAGTCTATAGAAACACAGAGTCCACAAATTTCACACATTTCTATCTCTCATGTCAGTTACATACTTAAATACCTTTACCTACAGGGTATCTTCTCGTCACGCACTCTCCGTTTAAGCATTCTGTTTGGCTTCCTCGTCTTCTGCTGGCATTGCCATTTCTTCTGCTTCTTCTTCTACTGCATGTTTATGTTAATAAGTTTGGCTGTTTATTGTTTTTATTATTACAAAGTCTATTGCCATTTTGCTGCTGTTGTTGTTGTTGTTGTTGTTGTTGTTATTGTTGTTGGCTTCTCTGTTGTTGGCTTTTGGGCTGGTCTTCCTTCTTTCATTTCTTTACATTTCCATTTCATTTCATTTCAATTCATTTCATTTCTTTTGAATTGTTTTCATTATAAGGCCATAAACAAAGCTTTAACGGTCTCTTTGTTTTAGCCAAATATCTGTCATATATGTATGTTATCTAAGTTTTAGCCATGAAGCAGGATAAACTGCGGCCTCTGCCGCCGTCGCTGCTGCTGCGGCTGCTGCATTCTTTTGACCCAGACTTTTTGTTGGGGCACATTTTCTTCATTTTCCTGCCAGTTGCTGCACTTGTTGCTCTTCTGCTGCTCGCTCTTCTTCTGCTTCTTCTTCTTGTTGTTGGAAAACTCGTCGCATCATATGCGCGCACAGAGCCAGCTAGTCTTAACTTGGCTTGCGGCTTGCGGCTGGGCCAGCTCGATTCAGTTGATCGCGAGGTGTTTGCGCTGTCGGTTGTGCGCGATGTAAGAGAGACCCCAACTCTGTGTGTGTGTGTGTGTTTCGCGCGCGTGTGTCTGTGTTTATTTCGGTTAAGCTGTATCCAAAGAAAACGCATTCAACAAAAATACAACAACAGCATTCATAGATAATCGCTGAGTGTGCCAAAAAGTATGGCTGGGCTGAGCCTAATTTATGCCGCCTGCCTGGGCGCCTGGATGATCAGCCTGTGCGTAGCTGCGGCCCAAACGGGATTAGAGCAAGGCAAGTGGTACTCGTTATGGCCTTGTTAGTGAGTGTGTGTGTGGCTATCTGTGTGTGTGTGTGTGTGCTTATTAGAGAGTTGTGCGTGTGGATTTGTCAATGCAGCTTCGACGTCTCCAAAGTCTATTGAAGTCTTTCAATCTGCGGCTCTTTCGTCTGCGGCTCTTTCGCTTTGTTGCATTGGCCAACTTGTTTGTCGCGCTGCACCGTTAAATAACCCCAATTTCAATTTGAACGCCGTAAATTTACATATGTCTGCGACGATAAGAGACTAGGAAGCGGGCGCTCAATCAATTGGTCAATTTGTTGGCCTGTTGATGCAACATGTGGCACAGTTGGGCCTTGCACTCACTGAGTGCAGCACAAAACTTGTTGTCCCATTTCCTAACCAGCTCCTGCGTCCACACACACTCACACTCTCACACACGCGCGCCCCATAAACAACAAAAAGTTTAGGTGGCCCAAAGTTGAAGTGAAGAACTGGAAACACTTAAAGAGTTGCCGCAATTTTCTAATTAAGTTTTCATTTGAGCGTCTCTTGGAATATATGTATATAAAACGCTAACCGCTTGAACTTAATGCTTAAGTATACCAACGGCTCACCCCACTTGACCCACCGCCCCACCAACGAGTTTCCTATGAGAAACACCGAGCGGCGCTGGTTAAATGTGAATTGCACTCGAATTAAACATCATTGACACGATGGAAGAGCGGGGCGCAGTGACAATCGAGCGAATGTGCCATAAACTGTGGATGATATTATGTTAAACTAGTTCGATCCGTAAACTAGGTAATATCGATCTCAAGTGTTACAAGGCTGGGCAAATTAAAACTGGAGCTCGTGCCATTATCGAATGGAACTAAGATAATACCATCTCATTGTGAGGCCACCACTCAATGTGATAAACGTTGACAATGCAGCGCTAAACACCGGGCCATAATGGATGCCTATCCCAGATGGATAGTGATGAATGCGAGACGATGCTGATGAAAAGCCGAAGACAAATCACAATTATTTGTTTAACTGAAACAAAAAAGTGCAAAGCCCATGATGAACTGTCCGTTTTACTTTTCGTTTTATCTTTGATAAGAATACCAAATGAAATTAATACCCATCACGAATTCGTGTCGAATGTTGTGTAAAGGCCAAGACAAATATTTATTTTTTGTCTGCCGAAACAATGAAAGGAAAAGTTTTTTATTGCATGATGCACATGCATTTTATGTGTTTTGATGTAACCGTTATCTGTATTAAAACTAAAACAAAAGCCAAAGAAGGCAAACAAAAAACAGTTTAAACATAATACAATTTGCTTTGCTTTTCCAATTCTATAAAATTGGAAAAGTTTGGAAAAAATCAATAGAGCCGTACGATATTAGTTTTTTTTTTTTATTTTTTTTTTTATTTTTGATCATTTAATTTTAAAAAACTGTCATTTGTTTCATTAGAAATTTTATATTATTTAAATTATTTATTTTTATCATTCATTTTATATAATTGTAAAATAAATTAAATATTTTCAAAGGACAATTGAGCTGTAGAACATATTGAATTATTTATATATAAATTAATTATTTATAGTGTTTTTATTTGTCTATTCCATTTATTTATTTCTTGACATATTTTACGATTATATTTATTGTAAGTTGAATATTTATAATAATTTTTAATTACGTATTTAAATGTGTTTACGGGGTTTATTTATTCATTTACATATTTCTTTATTTATATATACATTAATTCCTCTTAGCAATATTTAAAAAATTATTTATTTGTTTAATTTTTTTTGCCATATTCGTATTTATTATTTAAACATTTTTTTTTATTTATTTTTTTTTTTATACCCTGAACCCATTGAAAATGGGAAATCAGGGTATAATGGTTTTGTT